CTTGCAGCCAGGCGGTGGCGGCACACGCCTTTAATCCCAGCACTCGGGAGGCAGAGCCAGGAGGATCTCTGTGAGTTCCAGGCCAGCCTGGTCTACAGAACAAGATCCAGGATAGGCACCAAAACTACACAAAGAAACCCTGTCTCGAAAAACAAACAAACAAACCCAACAAAACCATCCTGCATCCTTGAGACTAACATCCTATGCTAGCTCATCCCATGGCTGTGTTTACAATTTAAGTTCTCCACATTGCATGATTCTTGGGCTTTGGGACCTAAAGGACCAGCTGCCTCCTTTTAAACATGGAGAGACTTACAAACTCCCCCTGCGTTAATTTTGATTTGGCAGAAGTCACTTCTGATAGTCACTTCCAATTGCTGTTTTCATTCTTTCCTTACAGGGAGCAGAAGCACACACGGTGCGGGAGAGCACAGAGGGGCTGCAGGTACGGAAACTGGAGGACAGAGCCCGACTGAGGGGCCGCTGGTGAGGAAACAGGGGGACAGAGCCGGACTGAGGGGCCGCTGGTGAGGAAACAGGGGGACAGAGCCGGACTGAGGGGCCGCTGGTGAGGAAACAGGAGGACAGAGCCCGACTGAGGGGCTGCAGGTACGGAAACAGGGGGACAGAGCCCGACTGAGGGGCCGCTGGTGAGGAAACAGGGGGACAGAGCCCGACTGAGGGGCCGCTGGTACGGAAACAGGAGGACAGAGCCCGACTGAGGGGCCGCTGGTGCAGAAACAGGAGGACAGAGTTCATCACGGACCTGCATGCTGGAAGAGGAGAACCGACTCCCTCCCGTTAGTCTCTGGCTTGCACATTTGTGTCATGGCACTTATGCGCCCTGCCCCATACAATAATTAATAAATAAAAGACAAGCAATATTACTATGAAAACAGTCTCTGTGTGTCCGTGAGGGCTCATATACATAAGACGTAAGATAGTGCCTTGTGGCATTTCTCTCTATGACAACCCTCTTGTGGCCCTGGAAAACCTGCAGGCACTCTGAGAGTGACCTAGGGTGAGTCTCAGATGGACACACAGACCCATAAGGGATGCAGGCTTGGTTCCTCCTCTCCTCAGAGTCCAGGACAGATGCCTGCTTCCGCTGACAGCCATGAGCTGAGACCAACAGTGGCTGCCAGCTTGTGGTCTCCAGGAAGTGGAAAGGCTGGAATGCATACCCGAAGAAGCGTGACAGTCCAGGCCTGGAACTAACCGGCTTCACCTAGGCTTTGGCTTCTCCTAAGCATGAGAGGCCGAGGAATGTCAGCCATGCGTGTGCCCGGGAGGGGGAGTGCATAGATTTGGCGTCCTGCAGCTGCAGCACACCGGAGCAGAGTCTTCCCACTGAGCGGAGTGGGGAGAAGCCTGGCACTGACCAGCGAAGGGCAGTGGCGTAAGTTTAAGGTTACAGCAGTGGGTGGACAGGCCTGAAAGTCACAACCCAGGGGACCGTGACACCACACTTCAGGTCCCTCAGGTCCCACTCTGACTTCCTTCTTCAGCTCCTTACCTGGCCTGTTGAGCACGGCCCCACCTCACCAACATTTCCAGGCCTCCGATTCAGCCACCACGACCTCCTGACTCTTGGCTCACGTCTGCCTTTCCATGGCAGCGCTGGGAGTCTGAGCCCTTGTCCTGCTGTCCACGCCCAGGATGTGGCTCTGCAGAGCCTCCCCCAGGACAACATCTCCTGCTTCTCTCACCTCCGCCTGACCTTCTTTCCGCCTGCATTTGATTTGCCTTTAAATTTTTTTCATTTAAATTTTAGGATGCGAAGGATTGAACTCAGGGCCTGTAAATGCTGGGCAAGCTCTAGGTCCTTGAGCTACATCCTCAAGCCTTCTTTCTCCCCGATTTGTGTGCATGTGCACGTGTGCACGCATGTGTGTGCATGTGTGTGTGCGTGCTGTGTGAGTGGGCACGCAAGTGAAGGGCGCCGTGGTGCATGTGACTGTCGCCTGAGGTTGGCGTCAGGAGTCAGTTCTCATTACTCTTCTCCCTTGTCCACTGAGGCAGGGCCCCTCACCCGAACCCAGAGCTTCCAGCTATGAGTGGTCTTGCTAGGCACCCTGCTCAGGGCATCTCCCATCTCTGCCTTCTGAAGCTAGAACTAGAGACAGGCCTCCGTGCCCACCTAGTGGTTTTGTGGGATCTGGGGATCCAAACTCCAGTTCTCACGATTGCCTGGCCAATGCTTTAAGCACTGAGCCATCTCCCCAGCCCTCTTGAAAGTCAATTTAAAAGGAGGACAGGTTTATTAGGCTTACAATTACAGGTCTCACTCCCCATGCAGAGCTCTGCTGCCTTTGGGTCTGTGGCAAGACAAAATATCAGGATAATGAGTATTCGGGAGAGGAGGTCTGGTCACCTAGGAAGGAGCCCTTGGGGGCAGGGTCCCAGTACCCTCTTCTAGGACACTCTCCCAAGGTCCTTCTTCCTAGGCCCTACTTCTCACAGGCTCCAGGACCCAGTGACACAGGCTGATGACCAAGTTTAAACACATGGCGTTTACGAGTCATTTCAGTTCTGAAACTTAACAGATGCTAATGACATGGCAGAGATCTGGGGCTAGCTGACAAAAAGACCAAGATGTATGGTATGGTTTGAATGCATCCCCCCAAAAGGCAGAAGCTACTCCATGGTGCAGTAGGGCTGAATTCTTGACATTACGGAAGAAGAAGGTTTATCTAATGACTACATCAAGTTCCTTTTCTTTTCTTTTCTTTCTTTGGTTTTTGAGACAGGGTTTCTCTGTGTAGTCCTGGCTGTCCTGGATCTCACTCTGTAGACCAGGCTGGCCTGGAACTCACAGAGATCCGCCTGGCTCTGCCTCCCGAGTGCTGGAATTGAAGGCGTGCGCCGCCGCCACCACCCGGCTCAAGTTCCTTCTCACAGGTCTTTTCAGGCCTCTCCCTACCCTTCCACTACAGAATGATGTGGCAGGAACACCCCACCCCAGGCCACTTTGGGAGCTGTGAGGAACCAGTTCCTGTTCACTGTGAATTACCCCTTCTATGATAATGTCATGGCAGAGACTCCTGCAGCATGATCAGAGGCTGGACTTTCAGCCTAGCCCTCAGCCTTGAGCAGATCACCAGTGTCCAAGGAGGGAACCGATCCTGCTGAGATGATGGAGTCTCCAAGAAAATCCAACGGTTCAGGGAGCATCTAAGGAGCTGAGCGCCCAAAGGCGTCTAGGATGTCCTCGGCGTCATGCCCCAACCGCCTGCCTTCCCATACTCCCCAGCTCACAAGAGAGGCCCCGCCCTGTGCACCACTCTCCCCTGGCTATTTATTTATCTGTATTCCTTGCGATTGCCATCCTTCTTTATTTATTTTCCTATGTATTTATTGATTTGAGATAGGGTTTTGTATATTTCAGACTGGCTTCAAACTAGTGTGTAGCCAAAAAGGACTTTGAACTTCACATCTTCCCGCCTCTACTCCTGGCGTGTGGAGACCACTGTCCCACCATGCCAGGTTTTATGCAGTGCTGGAGATGAGATGCAAAGCTCTGTGTGTGCTGAGCAAGCCCTGCACCAACGGAACCACATCCCTGGCACCTACAATGTCCTTCTGATAAATAGGGGAGCAAAGCGTTAGCCTGAGTTTGGAATAACACATGACTGATCCTAGGAAACTAATAGACAGTTTGCGTCCAGTCCGTCAGAAGCCTGGGCTGCAACCTGGAGTTTGCTGCTGGCATTTGAAATAGGAGCAGACTGAGTCCTAATCCTGTGGGGCTGAACCCTAATCCCAAGCAGATCCTGTCAGGGTTGAAATAAACCGTAAGTAACCGAGTGGGTGTGTGAAGAACTGATTGGTCCCTTACTGGCAAGGACCACACTTGTTGGTGCCCAGAGGGGATCTGTGTTGAGTACCGTATTAACTGTATGTAAGAGTAGGAAAAAGTTTTGTTTTTTCTTCTTTTCCTTTCTTTTAATTTATTCATTTATTTTGAAACAGAGTCTCACTGTGTACCCTAACTGTCCTGGACCTTATGATGTAAACCAGAAAGGCCTTGGACTCACAGAGATCTCCCTGCCTCTGTCTCCCAAATGCTGGTATCAAAGGCTTGCACCACCAAGCCTACCTTGGTTTTTCTTCTTTTAATCATGGTATCAAATGTTTTAAGACCATTTAAGCACAGGTATAGAAGAAAAAGAGAAAGCTAGGTATTTACTGTCCTATTCTGAAGATCACTCAGTGCTGCGTGTGGCACCCGGGCCTTACATACACTAGCGTTCAGCTACTGAGCTACACCCAGCCCTTGCTACTGGATTTATGACTTGGCTGTATTTTCAGCAGCATTACATATACTTTGTTGTTGCTGATATTCTGAGATAAGGTCTCATGTAGCCCAGGTTGGCCTTAAATCCTTGTGTCATAGCTGAAGATGACCTTGAACTTCTGATCTTCCGGCCTCCACTTCCTAAATGCTAGGATTATAGATGTATGTCACCATGCCCTGTTTAATGTGATGGAAGCCAGGGCCTTGTATATGCTAGGAAGGCACTGTGCCCATTGAGCCACATCTTTAGGCCCCTAACTAACTATAAAATAATAACCTATCTGGCTTAAAACACAAAAGCTTTCTTTCTTACTTTTTTTTTTTTTTTTTT